AACCACGCTAACCCTAACATTAACGAACTTTAAAGATTTTTGCTGCGCCACAAACCTGGCACACATTTCAGACGTGCTGCTTTGACACCTGATCTTAAATTTTGATTGGTCAAAATTACTGGGGATGAACAATTTTTTGTGGGAACGCTACCAAAAATCTAGCCACTGGGGTAGTTTACGAATTCCCGGGGTACTATCGAACATGTCGCATTCAAATTGGGCAAAAATTAAGCACCCTAATTCTATTTAATTATTACATGATATACAGTATACGTCAACCATATAACGTATTTATTAAATTGAACCCCCAAAACAATAAAACTAATATAATTATCACGTCAAACCCACCTCCCCAACTTAAAACCCATCTCCTTTTACTGTTAAAATTCATATAGATAGTCCATATATAACCTTCAAAAGTTTGTAACTTTTTTTTAACTCAGATTAGCGGGATTGAACATTTAGATAAAATTGGTAAGAAAAAAAGGGTGCTTATTCACAATAATAATGAGTTAAATTTTATGTTTTCTGTGTAATAATAATAGATTTTTAGAGGTTACATATTCAACCGTTTTACCCGAGTTGTAAACTTTTGACCCGGTTGAACCGTTTTGACACGAGTGACCCGGTTCTAAACTCTAGTATTTTCACCTTTTAATTCTTCGCTTTCCATCAGAGCATCAAATTTCGATGTAAATTGTCTTCGTAATTTGGTTACTTCATGATATAAAGTCATATTTACACCTTGAACATCACGTATAACATCTGCTCTAATCACTGGAGGCCATTTTTGCGAAGCATCTTCTGACAATTTGACTCTAAATTCTGGTGGTAGTTGACTAAATCGTGAAATTATCCCCGGACCAGGTGTATCCTAAATAAATTATAGTAGTGAAATGAGATAATTAAGTCTGCAAATGATGGTTCATCCAGAACGAAATCGAAACATACATCCCACGTCAATTTTCCGATTAATTCAATCATATCACCAATACAATATTGGCAAAAATTCTCAATCATTTGCGTGTCTACTATGAGGTGATGTTTAGAATTGTTTAAATATTGTTCAAGAATCGCGGTTTCAGTACAAAGCTGGATATATTTTAGCCTAAAAAATTAAAAACTTATACGGAAATTTTATGTTTAACAAATTAAATCTTTCTTCGTGTATTTTGAAAGTTACTTACGTTCCAACAACACGAATATCTTTTTCAATCCAGCCCTTTACATCTTCTTCTATTTCGTGGAAAAAAACTGGTCTTCCGTGCGGCTCCATTATGGACAACGTTCAAACGATAAGAACGTCAACCGTAAAAAAGAAAATATTAACGATCGCTATTGTATTTCCTCCTATAGTTTTGGCCAATCAAATTTCAAGATCAGGTCTAACGTAATCTCGTTGGGATCGCTAAAGTCTTGTACCCACGTGACTTTCGAAGTTTTAATTGTAATTAGGGTTAGGGTTAGTTTTATTGTTAGGGTAAGGGCATTCCCGACATTTTTTATTAATGTACCAAGACAGGTTTAGACTACCGTTTTTCATATTTTTGATTTTTTGATTTCTTCGGGCTGATCCGTGTAAACAAATCTCATGATTTTGATTGGTGATCTACATAAAAAAAAGTCACGTGGGTACAAGGCTTTAGCGGACCCCCTTATTTGTACCAGTAACGGTAATACAAACTTCTAAAAAAGGAGGTCGTCAAAATCCAGGCTCGCTCACGTGACTTACAACCAATCAAGTCGTAAATTTTGATTTACCCGGATCAGCCCGACGAGACAAAAACAAAGAAAAAAGGTGAAAAACGTAAAAAATACGAGAAACGAGTGTCTTAACCTACCTCGGGGCACTAATAAAAAATGTCGGGAAGACAATTTTACCTATAAGTCTTGCCGTAACCTTAACCCCTAACCAACCCTTACCTTAATTTTAATTAAATAATCAAAAACATATAAACGCACCGGGCTTTAGCCATCCCTAAAAAAGGAAACAGGGTGTTCTCAAGCACCTCACTCAATGGATCGGAAGCAAAATTTTAATAGTCGGAAATTGAATAAATTAACCAAGT